GGCGGCTGCAGTGTGTGTAAAATCCTTGTTGCCACTGACATAATTTATACATCAGTAGCAGTAAAAAGAGAAATCATCTTTCTGACCATGTTTCATGTTTCACCAATATGTAGGCCATATACACAATTCAGAAACAATGTAATTTTAGGGACATTTTTATGTCTCTGAGCCAGCAGTATTTTCAGCCAATGTGTTCGTTAGTGTTAATTTTGTCGATTAACACTATTTTAGTCAACGAAAATATGACTAAAACTAAAACCATTCAGCTGACTAAAATACGACTAAAAATAATACGGCATTTTAGTCAAAACACTAAGACTAAAATTAAATTTGATATGAAAATTAGTACTGGTTATATACCACAACGGATAAATGTGTGTCTGTAGTACACGTTCAAACCTTAATACCATAAATAATAACATGTTGTTAGATTTTCACTTCAGGGGTATTTCATGGGTTTGCAAATTCTAGAAAAATTCTTAAATATTGCATTACAATATAAGTAAACCCATTAGATTTTTGTTGGCTAAAAAGATTTTTAGTCAACTAAAATGTACTGAGATTTTTAGTCAACTAAAATACGACTAAAACTAAAAACAATTCAGATGACTAAAATACGACTAAACCTAAAATGGCATTTTAGTCAAAAGACTATGACTAAAACTAAATTAAAATTTGTCAAAATGAATACTGGTGTCCATGTACAATGTGGCATTTAGATTCCTAGTTTAGAGTAGCATTCAGTGGCATTAAAAAGAATACCTGAAACCTGCTTTTGAAGAGGACCTTACTGGAATAATGTCTGCATATACAAGTGTAAATGCATGTAAACACACACTTGTGCACGTAAATTCACTCTAGTGGCTAGAATAAATGAATATTCTAGCCCATACAACGAATTTTCATGCATAAGCTTCTAAGTGCCATAGGCCCATACATGTGCATAAATGCACATACAGTTGCAAGAAAAAGTATGTGAACCCCTTGGGATTACGTGGAGTTTTGCATGAATTGGGCATAAAATGTGCTCTGAATGTCATCTAAGTCACAACAATAGAAGAACACAGTCTGCTGAACATAATACTACACAAACATTAGATGTTGCCATGGTTTAATTGCACATAACATGTAAACATTCACAGTGCAGGGAGGAAAAAGTATGCGAGGCCCTAGCTTAATGACTTCTCCCAGAGCTAATTGGAGCCAGGAGTGAGCCAACCTTGACTCCAATCAGTGTGATGATATTGGATGTGTTGCTGACAGCTGTCCTGCCCTTAAAAAACACACACCTGTTTTGGGTTTACTGGTTTCAAGAAGCACTGTCTGATGTGAACCATGCCTCACAGAAAAGAGCTCTCAGAAGACCTACGATCAAGAATTGTTGACTTGCATGAAGCTGGAAAGGGTTACAAAAGTATCTCCAAAAGCCTTGATGTTCATGTGTCCACGGTAAGACAGACTGTGTACAAATGGAGAAAGTTTAGCACTGTTGCTACTCTCCCTAGGCGAGGTCGTCCTGTAAAAATGACTACAAGAGCACAGCGCAGAATGCTGCATGAGGTAAAGAAGAATCCCAGAGTGTCAGCTAAAAACCTACAGAAATCTCTGGCACATGCTAACATTTTTGTTGACACATCTACAATAAGGAAAACATTAAACAAGAATGGAGTACATGGGAGGACACCACGGAGGAAGCCATTGCTGTCCAAAAAGAATATTGCAGCACGTTTGAAGTTTGCAAAAGAGCACCTGGATGTTCCACAGCACTACTGGTAAAATATACTGTGGACAGATGAAACCAAGATTGAGTTGTTTGGGAAGAACACACAACATTATGTGTGGAGAAAAAAAGGCACAGCACACCAACATAAAAACCCCATCCCCACTGTAAAACATGGCGGAGGGAGCATCATGGTTTGGGGCTGCTTTACTGCCTCAGGGCCTGGACGGATTGTTGTCATTGATGGGAAAATGAATTCCAGAGTTTATCAAGATATTTTGCAGGAAAACGTACGACCATCTGTCCGCCAACTGAAGCTCCGTAGAGGATGGGTGATGCAACAGGACAATGACCCAAAGCATACAAGTAATTCAACAAAACAATGGCTGCAACAGCACAGAATACGCCTTCTGGAGTGGCCCAGTCAGAGTCCTGACCTCAACCCGATTGAAATGCTGTGGCATGACCTTAAGAGAGCGATTCACACCAGACATCCCAAGAATATTGCTACACTGAAACAGTTTTGTGAAGAGGAGTGGTCCAAAATTACTCCAGATCGTTGTGCAGGTCTGATCTGCAACTACAGGAAACGTTTGGTTGAGGTTATTGCTGCCAAAGGAGGGTCAACCAGTTATTAAGTCCAAAGGTTCACATACTTTTATCTCCCTGCACTGTGAATGTTTACATGTTATGTGCAATTAAACCATGGCAACATCTAATGTTTGTGTAGTATTATGTTCAGCAGACTGTGTTCTTCTATTGTTGTGACTTAGATGACGTTCGGAGCACATTTTAGGCCCAATTCATGCAAAACTCCACGTAATCCCAAGGGGTTCACATACTTTTTCTTGCAACTGTATTTATATGCCAAAATAAGCATTTGCTTGTGCTGGATTTTTCTGCCAGCTCCTGGCTTTAAGATCCAGCATAAATTAGAGTAGTTTATTATGCCTGTGTGTATACAGCCTTAAGGTGAAACATGGTCAGAGTCTGGGCCCACCCCAAACAACCCCAATATACAGAATCTTGGGGTTCTCCTCTCCACTAGCCCCTGGTATTGTTTAAATTCAGTGTGGCTGTACTGTACGTGGCTCTGTCCACACAGCTACATTATTCATTCACAGGTATAGGTGGGGCCAGGTGTTTGGTACCCAATGTGGAAAGAAGGCACACGGAGACCAAGGAATGGAGCAAAGTGCATTAACACAAACATTTCAACAAGGTGGCAACAGAGTCTGTCCTCCTGGCACAGCAGTACTTCACAGAAGGTATCAGTATTATAGAAGATACTCTAAATGGCTTATGATGCCAGGCAGCATCTGACCAAGGAGGTGACAGGAAGGCGACAAGGCACTTGAAGGTGGGAGAGTTTCTGGCTGGCAGCACAGACATAGTCCCTACTGCCCTGGAACTTTTCCATGTACTAGACACACTCTCCCTATCTAGAAGGTTCCTGTCCCTGGCCTAGCACATTCACAGATATGAGCCAGCTGCAGATGGTCAGTGCTTTTATTAGCACTGCTCAAACTAAAGATGGCCACCGAGGTCATCCAGGGCAACAGAGTCCAATCAGACAGCTGCTGTCCTGATGACACCTACGGAGGCCTCAGAGAAACAAGAGTTTTTCCTGTGCTCCATCTTTTCTGCATGGCGGACACTATAAAAGTGCCACATGTGCAGGGAGGCTGAATTGCACCTGTCTACATGCCACTGCAGCAGAGAAACTCATAGTTCTCAATAGAGCACAAGTGCGCTGATGTCACCACACTTGTAGTCCATTGATACTCCCTCCAGCCTGTAACTGAAGGTTCTTACTGAGATACAGACCTTGAGCTGGAGGAATAGTGTGCAGAAGCCAGAGCACAGCACCTGTGATGCTTTTCAGTCACCAATGCAAAAAAATAATGAATGCACTTTTTTAAATTAAATTGATATATAAAAGGCTTATTTTTTCTTTAATAATAAACATGTCATACTTACCTGCTCTGTGCAGTGGTTTGCATAAAGCAGCCCCGATTCCTCCATTTTTCAGGTCCTCTGCCAGAGCTCCTGGCCCCTCTCTCCTGCCAAATGCCCCCAGAGCAAGCAGCATTCATTTTCAACCACAGTGATGAGAAAATTTGAAGGTGCAGGATAGCAAATTTTTACAGTGAGTGTGATTTTCTTTTGGGAAACCTCATTCATCCCAAAATCAAATACTAAAAGCAAACACATTTTTGAAGGACTTTTGAATGACAGACAGTCATCAAGTCATCGAATGAAGGTTCCTATGAAAAATCAGCTAGCGTGTGGCCAGCTTTCCTCCCACTAGTGATAGAATCTCTTTATAAAGTAATTTTATTCACCCCAGTGGTATTTGTTGTGTCCTTGATAAGTTCTGATTTGATGACCTTTTTAAATTGATATGTACCGTAAATAAAAGTATTTTACTTGTCCTCACTGGATGCTTCTGCATCCCCTGGATCAGCTTACTAGGGTTTAGGACCAGATCTCTTATTCCTCATGCAAAACCTGAAATACTAATTTGTCAACAAGTTGTGCTGAGTGTGCCTTTACTGTCTAACCAGAAGCAACACCATTAATCAGCTTATTTGCTCTTACTAAATCTCAGAGCCTCGTATGTCCTCCACAGTAACTATAGCGTAACGGTTCATTGTATAACACAAGGCATTTCCTCATTGCTAGTCTGCACCCTCCCTGACAGGCTTCCTCAGTAGTCTTTGTAGCACTGAGTGAGGCGTTTATCTGGGTGTTATCTAAGCTTTGGCTTGTAAACAAGTAGGCTGTGTCTCCAGAGCAGTTGGGAGTGGATAGATTCCATAGCTCATCAGTCTCAGATTCCATCCCCTTTTTTTGAAAGCCATAAGCCCACAATGCTTTCGTTTAGGGCTGAGTGGGAGATTTATCAGCACTGCAGACTTGCAGCGAAAAACATGGAACTGAGAAGAAAGTCTTCCTCGCTTCCTTCTGTTATGTAAAGAAATTTGGTAGAAGGATCCTGCAGAGAGCCTGAAAGTAGGTGAGAGATTACTGTATTTCCTCAGGTTTTCCACTTCCTGTGTATGTAACAACTTCTAGATCTTCTATTGCTGCTACTTTCAAAACATTTCTACTGCTGATATCTCTGATTACTTTTTCTGCTTGTATTTCAGCTTGATGAAGGCATGCTCAGTTGCTGTTTTTGGTGATCTATGGCACCTAAAGGACCCACCTGTCTAATCGCTCATCTTGTGATTGTATAACGTGTTTCATCTTGCTCAGACTTGTAACCTAGTGCCCTATGGCTCTTTGTTGGATAACAGGACTTGTGACAGGCCTAGCAGCTCTCCATTTCCTACAGAAGAAGTTTTTCCCTTACTTTTGGGTCGATCTGAGATACCTGTTGAAAGTAGTCCACTACGGACTTCTGATTGAGAAGTATAAAAAGACTGGTCATGTGGTGACGGTTGTAGATCGTTTTGTTCAGCAAGCTCAGCGGATACCTGATAAGACTTTTATAATATTCCATGGAGATGCCTACACTTATCGAGAAGTGGACAGGAGGAGCAATCAGGTGTCCCACTGTTTCCTGAAGCATTCGTCATTGAAAAAGGGGGATACGGTGGCTATGCTTATGAACAATGAACCTGATTTTCTGAATGTGTGGTTTGGGTTGGCTAAACTTGGCTGTCTGGTGGCATTTCTTAACTACAACATTCGATCCAGGTCCTTGCTGCATTGCTTCCATAGCTGTGGAGCCAAGATGCTTATTGTGGGAGCAGGTAATAGCAAGTCAACTAATTATTCTCAGTTGTCTCCGTTAAATAATTTACATATTTGTAAAGCACTGAATATTTACTGCTTAAAGTATATGTAAACCCTCGCCTTGTAAAAAAACCCATTCAGTTTATGGGTGAAAATGAAAGTCAAAACATTTGTGTATAGATATAAAACAAACATTATAAAATACCTTTTTTCTCTGTTTTGTAAATGATCACATTCTCTCTGTTCTCAGCTGCATAAGAGCTAGGGGAGGAAAAACAGCACTACACTGAACTTCCCAGTGAATGACTGGGCAGGGGGGGGGGGCATGTGAGCAGAAGTCTGATCATTGGAGGAGAGCACACTGAGTTCCTATCACAGCTAGGGAACCAGACCTGACTCAAGCTGTGCCTCTCCTTGTAGTGTGGTCAGTTTTTAATAGGAAACTAGAGGGAGTGGCAGAAATGCCAGGGATTTTACACAAAGGAAGCAATACAGAGAGAACAGGATACTCTTTCTTACAAGTACATGGTACAGTAGGCACATATTAAGAATATGAAATGTTTGGTTTACATATTCTTTAATATTAATGAATTCAGATAAAGCATTATTGTATTCGTAATCCTTGCTGGTGTTCTTTCCAGTTACAACTTTTTTGTAACCTTGGACATGTTTGCAAAACTGAATAAGGATAAATTATTATTACAAGTACTTATATAGCGCCGTCAATTTACGCAACGCTTTACATATATATTTGTACATTCACATCAGTCCTTAACCCTCTAGGGGCATACAATCTTAAAGTCCCTAACTCACATTCATACATACACATACTAGGGCCAATTTAGACAGGAGCCAAGTAACCTACCAGCTTGTCTTTGGAGTGTGGAAGGAAACCAGAGTACCTGGAGGAAACCAATGTAAACACTGGGAGAGCATGCAAACTCCAGGCAGTTGGTGTTATGGTTGGGATTCAAACCAGCTACCCTAGTACTGCCAGGTGGAAGTGTTAACCATTTAGCCACTGTGCTGCCTATACATACATATGGACATATGAATATATAGCAACGAGTATGCAGGGTCTTGCTGGCAGAAGTTCACAGATCCTGTGTAAAAAAGTGCTCTGAATGCTGTACATATGTAACGTTTACATGTGTATAAGAATACAGCATTAATGTAGGCTGTTGCTGCCTAGCATCCTCAGTTGCTAGTACACAGGCAGCTATTATTGTCCTCCGTTGCTAGGACAGAAGTGCCTATTGCCTTCCAGCAATCTCCATAGGACACAGTTCTTACACTCCAATAGAGTACATTTAAACTGTTTGAATTTTACACTGTACATGAACTGTACCATGAATGGTACAGTGTAAAATACGGTCCATATGCAGAGGTCCTCAGATGCGGATTTTTCCTTTTTTTTTTTTTAAAGATCTGAATGCAGTGCATGTTTACAAATCATGTTTACTGACATTTTTTGTGGTTGTGTGTATGATCCCCAAAAAATTTAATATACTGAAGACCTCAAGACAAACCCTTAAGAAAACATGACATCTCCAGTCTAAACGGAGATGCATACATTACAAGGCATGCATTCATTTTGCCCTGTTTTATTGTATGGTACTGACCACCACTAGCCCGGAAGTGGGTGTTCTCCCCTAGAATCTGGCAGTGGAGTGCTCCTTAGTGTACTCATGTCCAGTGCAAAATTGTGGGCTATGCATTGGTCTTAATTACATCATAGGACCTGCAAGCATCAAACCATTGGGAAGAAGAGCCTGAGGGGACCAGTCTTGCAACCTGGAGGAACCTATGGAAGCATAGGAGAGGGTACGTAAAAGTGCTTTTGCAGTTCCCTAGACATAATGAGCATTTAACCAGCCCTATTGCAAGGGAGCATTTTTTTTTTTTTTTTTCCAGAGCTTAAGTTTGTTGTTGTGTTTTTTTTGTTTGTTTTTTTTACAGCAGCAAACACATGAGTTATGTATATTAATGAATATCCCATTACCTGAAGGCTGCTGCTGCTTGCAAAAATCCTGCCTTCATTGCGGCTTTCATAGCCATCAGATATTGCCCTGAGTGGCTGTCTTCCAGTATTGTGAGAGTTCACAGTCTAAAAAGTTGTGCCAACCACCCATCCCCTTTTGCCCTCTCTGCCATGCAGGGAGTTTGTGTTACTGTTCTCCCACAATGCATCACATCTTGTGAATGTACGATGGGGATCCTGTCAGTCAACAATTTCTCCTCCATTCACAGAATGCAATGTATTGTAAATGAATAGAAATATAAGTTCTTTGAATGGCATAGAGCAGGCATCACTAAATGGCGGACCGCGGTCCGGATGCAGACCTAGCCACTGTTTCATCCAGACCTGATCACGCCATTTAGGAGCCGCTTCTTTCCCCCCATTCTCCACCGCTGTTATAACAGCAGGAGACAGAAAATTTCTTGAGCGAGTGTGGAATAACAGCACAGAAATGAACAGATCGTGGGAACAGGAGCTGTCATAATATTTCTGGATAGGATGCAGGAAGCGTAATACAGCATTGAATAGAGCGCAAGAGTTACCGGGGTTAACTTTTTAAGTTAACCAGCGGCTGATTGGAAGCAGAGCAGTGCTAGCAGCCAATCACCTGCAGGTTAATACAGAAAGTTAACCCCCACAGCTCCCATGCTGTTTTCAATGCTGTGCTGTGCTTCCCGCATGCGATCTAGAAATGATATGACAGCTCCCGCTCCCGCTCCTCCTGCGCTCTGTTCAATACTGTGCTGTTATTCCACACTCACTCCAGAAATGTTCTGTCTCCTGCTGTCCGCTCTGCTGTTATAACAGCGGCAGAGGATGGGGGAAAAGAAGCTGTTCTGTTCAATGATGTGCTGTGCTTCCCACACCCGATCCAGAAATGTTCCACCTCCCGCTCTAAGGTAGGAGAGTGGAGGGGGGCTGGGGACACTACTCTGGCTGTGTGTGTGATGTAAAGGGGTAAAATGTGAAGAGAGGCAGTGCTGTGTGCATATGGTGGTGGTGTAGGGTGATGTAAAGGGGGCAGTTCTGTGAAAGGGTGATGTAAAATGGGGGGCAGTGCTGTAGGGGGGTTGATGTGAGGAGGGCAGAGAACACTACTGTTGGAGGGGATCTGTGATGCAAGGAGGGGGGCATTGCTGTGGAGGGGAAGATGTAATGGGTGGGCAGTGTTGTTGTGGGGGGATGTAAAGGGGCAAAGGACAGTACTGTGGGATAGGGATGTGAAGTAGGGGGTGGGGTGACGTGAGGAGGGCAGAGTATACTACTGGGGTGGGGTGTGAAGGGGGCAATGCTGCGTGCGTGTGTGGGGGGGGAGGGGGTTGATGTGAAAAGGGCAGAGAGCACTACTGTTGGGTGGGGGAAATTTGTGATGTGAGGGGGGTGGGACAAGGCTGTTGGGAGAGATGTGGGGGGGGGGCAATGTTGTGGAGAGGGATATGTAAAGGGTGGGCACGGTTGCGGGGGGGGTGTGAAGGGGGCGGAGTTCTGCTGGGAGTTATGTGAGCAGGAAGAGAACAGTAGTGTGGGGGACAGATGTGAAGGGGGCAGAGGACAGTAGTGTGGGGCGGGGGTGTTGATTTGAAGGGGGTTGAGTGCTGCTGAAAATAATGGGGGTATACTGTAAAGATATGGGTGGGGGTGATGTGCAGGGGGCCTGAGAACACTACTGTGAAGGCGAAACTGATGTAAAGTTGAGGACTGTGACTTTTTTTTTTTTTTTTTTGAGGGTGGGTGGTGGTGACTGAGAACAATGAAGTATAAGGATTGTGAAATACAGTAGGAGAGGACTGAAGTAAAAATGTGGTTCGAACCTCTGTTGAAAGAAAATTTTACTGGTCGGCAGGGGCGTATTTACCAAAAGGCAAACAAGGCATTTGCCTAGGGCAGCATTTTTTAGGGGGGCAGCACTGCCCCCCGGAACAAGGGACATATGTAGCATGGGGACCAGGTGGGATCCGATAAAGGCTGCGGGATGATTGATGGTGTATGCAGAGCCCGACTGTCCTTTCTGAGGATGGCCAGAGCAGTGAATGTGAGTGCCTTCATCTCTGTTGTCAGGGGGGTGTTAGTAGTAGTCACTGCTGGTCACTGTCATCTCCTGTACTATATCCGCAGTCTCTGGTCATCTCCTGTACTATGTCCGCAGTCTCTGGTCATCTCCTGTACTGTGTCCGCAGTCTCTGGTCATCTCCTGTACTATGTCTGCAGTCTCTGGTCATCTCCTGTAGTATGTCTGCAGTCTCTGGTCATCTCCTGTACTGTGTCCGCAGTCTCTGGTCATCTCCTGTACTATGTCTGCAGTCTCTGGTCATCTCCTGTAGTATGTCTGTAGTCTGTGAGTGCCTTCATCTCTGTTGTCAGGGGGGTGTTAGTAGTAGTCACTGCTGGTCACTGTCATCTCCTGTACTATATCCGCAGTCTCTGGTCATCTCCTGTACTATGTCCGCAGTCTCTGGTCATCTCCTGTACTATGTCTGCAGTCTCTGGTCATCTGTACTGTGTCCGCAGTCTCTGGTCATCTCCTGTACTGTGTCCGCAGTCTATGGTCATCTCCTGTACTGTGTCCGCAGTCTATGGTCATCTCCTGTACTGTGTCCGCAGTCTCTGGTCATCTCCTGTACTGTGTCCGCAGTCTCTGGTCATCTCCTGTAGTATGTCCGCAGTCTCTGGTCATCTCCTGTACTATGTCTGCAGTCTCTGGTCATCTCCTGTACTATGTCTGCAGTCTCTGGACATCTCCTGTAGTATGTCCGCAGTCTCTGATCTTCTCCTATATTATGTCCGCAGTCTCTGGTCATCTCCTGTACTATGTCTGCAGTCTCTGGTGTATTACGTCCACAGTCTCTGGTCATCTCCTGTACTATGTCTGCAGTTTATGGTCATCTCCTGTACTATGTCTGCAGTCTTCCTGGTCATCTTTGGTCAACTCCTGTTGTACATCCGCAGTCTCTGGTCATTTCCTGTAGTACATTTGCAGTCTCTGGTCATCTCCTGCACTATGTCTGCAGTCTCTGGTCATTTCCTGTAGTACATTCGCAGTCTCTGGTCATCTCCTGTAGTATGTCCGCAGTCTCTTGTCATCTCCTGTAGTATGTCCACAGTCTCTTGTCATCTCCTGTACTATGTCCGCAGTCTCTGGTTGTCTCCTGTACTATGACCGCAGTCTCTGGTCATCTCCTGTAGTACATCCGCAGTCTCTGGTCATCTCCTGTAGTATGTCCACAGTCTCTTGTCATCTCCTGTACTGTGTCCGCAGTCTCTGGGCATCTCCTGTACTATGTCTGCAGTCTCTGGTCATCTCCTGCACTATGTCTGCAGTCTCTGGTCATCTCCTGTACTGTGTCCGCAGTCTCTGGTCATCTCCTGTAGTATGTCCGCAGTCTCTGATCATCTCCTGCACCATGTCTGCAGTCTCTGGTCATTTCCTGTAGTACATCCGCAGTCTCTGGTCATTTCCTGTACTATGTCTGCAGTCCATTGGTTCAGAATATTTTGTTTCTTGTTTTCCTCCTCTAAAACCTAGGGGCGTCTTATGGAGCGAAAAAAAATACTGTATATGTACCTGTATTAGTGTTTTGGTGTTATCATAATTCCCATCTGAGCAGTGCATTTAAAACAAAATTGGTGGTGAAAAGATTTTTTTTGTTGCCTGTTCTCCTTTAAATTTCACAGGCTGCAGTGACAAGGTTAATATTCAGAATTTCGGAGCTGCTATTGAGGCCTCAGTCAGGGTTTGCCCTGTTCCTGTATTCACTGCCATGTGCTTCTTCTATTATACACTTCATGCATTTCACAGAACAAGAAACAAACCACACATATGTAAAGCATGCACAGCCCTTCTGGCCCTATCATACACCAATCTAGCAACAAAAATATGCAGACTATAGCTGTATACTACCAGCATATCTAAGATAGCCCATTACAGTTCCCTCCTGTGCATTTTTTCAGAAGATAACATTACTTGTCCTAACTGTTAAATGACAGATCATAGAACACAGCGTACAGGAAGTTGCTTACCACGTCACATCACGCAACACAAAGCCTACTCAACTGTCAGATGCCTATAAGTCTGTTATGCTGATCTATGTATTAAAGTAGTTAAAGAGCAGCTATGATCCAAGTGATAGAATTTCCACTCGTTGAAAGAATAGTTATATTAACATTTTAGCCATGTGATAAGACTATGGCCTCAAAAAACTGCATCTTTAAATCCTTTTGAATTTTTTTGCATTTGATGCAGCTTATAAATCCAATGTGTCTATGTGCATTGGGGCATTTAGCTCTGCTCTAATCCTGAAGTGTCCGAGTCCCACATTCAGGGGAGAGTATTATGGCTTTTTTTTATTTTCTATTGTATGCATGTAAAAATGTTTGCTAACATTTATAATGTGCATAGCATACAGTGCAAATGCATTCAATTCTATTGGATCTGCCTGCCTCCTAGCAAGGACTGATGCTGGGAGGTAGGTGGCACTATTGGTCACAGCCAATGCCAACATTTAAATAATAATATTTGATCACTGTGTGGTCAAGGATGAATGAGTCATTCATGCGGCATGGCTGGTCATTTTGAGGAGAGCTGTTGCAGTTCTTCTTCAGGTCCACTTTGATGGCTGTTTGGATGAGCCTTTTCTTGTGGAGCTGGCGGGGTGGGCAAGCCATCATGGTTGGGTACCCCACCAAGTCTACTCTGACATATGGTAGGAAGAACTTATTTGCCTGTGTATAATTTGATTGGCCCCTGCCAAATTAAACACATGTAGAAACTGCTTCTTCAATCGGATCTCAGAATGGACCTGATGGGAAACTGATTGCCACAAAAATGGCCAGAACACTAGCTTAGCCCACATCACATGTTAATATACAGGCAACTTGAGCTGCTTAGCACCCTTCATTTATAGGATAAACCAATAGGCGTGAATTCTTCTATAGGGCACTATGGTCAAAATTCTTTGTTTCATGTTTCTTAAGGGTAGGGTGAGATATACAGACGGAGATGACTTTCGTGACATTGGAAGCATTTGTAGAGTTTTTTTTATATGGTTATAAGAGATTAAAAATCTAACTTGTCAGGATTGTATTGAAAACATATCCAGGTCCATAGCACCACTCAAGACTTGTTCCTCTTGCGATGCACAAACAATCTGCGTGTCGGCTCCCATAGCCCATCTACTTCCAACGAGAAAACACGATAACAGCAACAACCTTAGCTCTTCTTGCTGTATTTAATTGACTATCAGCAAAATGACTACATACTGTACATCATGTCTCCACCCATAAACCAGACTTCCTTGATGTGTTGCACTGCTCCCAGCTTGTCCACAAGGATGGGGAAGCAAGGCAATGGGCAAGAGGAGCTGGAATTGCAATTATGAGTCTTTCATGTGCAGTGCACTCTCCCCACTTTAGCTGAGCTCAATAAAGGCTGCTCCAAGCCATCCAATTAGTGTGCCCTGTCTCCAATGTCACTGGGATAGGAAATTAAGAGATGGAGACCCAGACACCATTAACACCTGCAGGGGATCCAATTCCTCCCCACTTTACTGAATGAGTGTTTGTATTGCTGTGTGAGGACCTACTGCCCTCCCCTAACTCCCCAACTTTCTATCTTGTTAACCACTGATCACTTTTTCCCCAAAGAGGAAATAGTTTGATGGAGGTTTTCTTCTTTACTGACTCTAAAGAAACTAGAGTTCCATTTTATTGCTAACAAATCACCTTAACTATATTGATATATTTTGTGTTCTTTTTTTCTACCAGACATGCTTGATTCATTGGAAGAGATTCTACCAAGCTTGCAAGAAGACAACATTACAGTTTGGGTGATGGCTAGGGAAACTAGTCTCCCAGGGGTAAATACTGTCCTAGACAAGCTGGATTCCGTAACAGATGAGCCTGTACCTGCACACCTGCGCTTCGTAGGCAGCACCAATGCAACAACGCTTTATATCTTCACATCAGGGACTACAGGTATCACTGCAATGTCATTTCATGTAAAGTGACAAGTACTATCTGATGTAAAAAAATCTTGACATACCTTTCTCATGAAAAACAAAACAAAACACAAAATGGCACTAGTTTCCATTAGAAGTACCTGCGCCTAATTCAGGCTTGCATTTGTGCCAGTTTTAGTAATATTACCAACATCACAGTACTTTATCCCCATCGCCATTCAGCTGTATACCAGGGGATTCCCTGCGCAAAATGTAAACCAAAGGGCCAGAGGTATTTGTAATGTAATTACCAAATTATGTCAATTCCTATATTTGGGAAATTACTTGAGTCACTGGTTGAGCAGACCTTGATGGGAAACTGAGAAACTAGCTCCCTAACAGGTTTGCCTGGCTGTTGATTGACAGCACAGGAAAGTGCGTTGATTAGAAAACACGACTAAATAGTAACTATGGACCTACCCATTGTCCTGTGCTGTCAATCAACTAGTCTCTCAGTTCCCCATAAGAACTCGCCTATCCCTACTACAAAACTCCACACCCATGCCTCTGCCAATTTTGATGGGTACAGCTGCCAAGGAGAGAGTGCATTGAGGAAGGAGTGTCCAGTATGCATACTCTGACCTCCTTGTCATTCATGTACCCGTCTGTGACAGGTACATGAATTGGTTGCAAGCACTGACACCCTTTATGAATTTCCTCCAAAGAATTTGTTTTTAACCAATATAATATATATTAGATTTTAAAATATTTCTGTATCAGTCACAACACCTCACCTATTGATCAGAAGCTCTGCGGTAATAATTGCTTTCTATGTAATATACAGCTGCTGTGCATTAACTAAAGAAGATATCAAGTGAAAACAGTATTATGACCCAGCAGTGAAATACAATAAATAATCAGTACTAAAACTGTACATATAAATAATACAATAATTGGAAATGTTTATTAAAGTGTTATTAAACCCACAATAGTAAAATTAGTCTGTATATGCAGTAAAGCATGCTTGCCATACTCACTGTGGAGCCTAAGGGGTTAATCCTCTGTATTGTGTAAAAAAAGCTGTTTGATCTTGACTTCTCTGCACCTCCTCTTGTTCAAATGTCCATGTCTTATCATGATAATACAGACTGTACCGCAGCCATTCTGCACAAGCTCAGTTTAGTGTGTATTGCTAGAGAGGTTTTTTTTCTGGGGAGAGTGCATGTGATCAGCACAGGGCCAATCAGCACTGTCCAGACAGAGGTCAGGGGTTCTGCATCCTTCTAGAGCAGAAAGAAAACTCCTTCTACAAGCTTTAAATCGTGCTCTGCTGAATACTGATGTCACAAGACTGCTCTAACTGCTGATGAGAAAAGGTATTCAGCAGTTTAGATTTACTAAAAGGGCAACCAAACCGATAAGAGGCATGGAGGAGCTCAGCTGTGAGGAAAGATTAGAGGAACTGAATTTATTCTCTCTTGAGTAGAGGAGATTAAGAGGGGATATGATCAACATGTATAAATACATCAGTGGTTGATATAGTGAACTCGGTGTAGAGATATTCACCCTGAGGTCATCACAGTGGACAAGGGGGCACTCTTTACGTTTGGAGGAAGAGAAATTTAATCTCCAAACATGGAAAGGTTTCTTCACAGTGAAAGCTGTGAAAATGTGGAATAGGCTCCCTCAAGAGTTGGTTCTGGCCAGCTCAGTGGATTGCTTTATAAAAAGACCTGGATTGTTTCTTACATACACAGAATATAACTGGATACTAACATTTATAGGTAAAGTTGATCCAGGGAATATTCCGATTGCCTCCCGGGGGATCAGGAAGGAATTTTTTCCCCTGTAGGAGCAAATTGGATCATGCTTTGCTGGTTTTTTTTGCCTTCCTCTGGATCAACTGTGGGTATAGGATTATAACTTTTTTTTTTTTAATGATTGAACTGGATGAACTTTTGTCTTTTTTCAGCCAGACAAACTATGTAACTATGTAAAATAATTACATTTCCTTGTTCTGTGTACTGTGGGAGGGCAGATATAGTGAATGCAGGGTTCTGGGTTTAGTAACTTTAATGTTATTAAAATGTGTCAATCAAATAAATACCCGTATTAGCATGTAACAAATCAGCCTTAAAACCGTTTACCAACTATTGCACTATAACAATCATGGTGATAGCCCCACAGCTAACCCTATAAAACCATGTACAATATCACTTTGTCCTTTGCGCCTATTACCTTTTGAAAAGATATAAAAACAATGGCAGGTCACCCGCCCACAACAAAAACATAGAATCAATTTCTAAAAATGAACAGGAATTTTTTTATATATTGATATGTAATGTTTTTAACTGATTGGTAATAACATTTTTATTTGTTATATTTAAAGTATACTTTATGGTTTCTAGTATAATACTACTGGGTCTTCCTTACATGCAATGTTTATTTTTATATATTGATTTTATCCTATAATCTCCTTATGCTGCAGTAATAAGAAATAATCACTACATTTATTTCCATTTCTTAGCATTCCAGTATTTCATCCCTTTTTTATTATCAATTTTATTACAATGTTTAACTGATCCATTTTTCCCTAGGCCTCTTTCCTTCTTCTTATATACGAGGTGGTATGAAAACATTTCTAGACTAGTTTTGCAACATGCCAACAGATGGCTGCACAAGGCTGCACACACAGTCACGGGGAGCACCAACCTTCATAAGTCAGTGTGCCAAAGACATCATTCTGTGTACATCTGGATCTGTCCAACTGGTGCTATTCTGACCTTGTGTAGTACCATGTCTGCTATTTCACCATGGACAGCAAGCTAGAACAAAGAGCAAATGTGAAATTCTGCGTGAAACTGGGCAAATCTTCCACAGAGATGTTTGACTTGATTTGGCAAGTTTACGGCGATGTTGCAATGAGTCATTCAAGGTGTTTTGAGTGGCATGCACACTTCAAGAGCAAAAGAACCTCATTGTAAGACGATGAGGGATCAGGAAGACCTTCAACAAGCTCAACCCCCCAAAAATGTGAAAACCATTCGGCACTTGTGCATGTCAAAGATCAAAGAAATTTAGGTGTTTCACAAAGAATTTCACATAAAATTTAATGTTTGCTCTTTGTTCTAACTTGCTGTCCATGATATATTAGCAGACGTGGTAACGCACATGGTCAGAATAGCACCAGTTGCAGAGCTGCTGATGTACACAGGATGAAGTCTTTCGGCACACTGACTTATGAAGGTTGGTGCTCCCTGTGACTTTGTGCAGCCTTATGCTGCTATCTGTTGGCATGTTACAAAACTAGTCTTGAAACATTTTGATACCACTTTGTATTTTATCTGTTCTCATCTTCTTTTAATGTGCAGTTCCTTCTGATCCTTAACAGTTTACCTTCTGGTATTCCAGATATCCACTTAGGTTGATGGAAGCTCTTGTTGGAACATATCAATTTCCATCTTTTTTTTTTTTTTTCTTAAGAAAGTCTTTTTGTGTAGTTTTCCTTGGTACTTATAGTCCTTCTCCAGAGAGAACAAAACTGTTCCCTTGCAGTAGGACTGCCTCACATTGCAAGGGGTAAATACTCATTTATATCTAGAAGGCCTAAAAAAGGACTTTTACCTATCTGATCCTCCTCTCGCCCAGCAGCCTGCACTTCCCTTTGCTCCCATGCTCTCTAGCAGTCCTCAGGTCCAATGCAGGGCTATGGGCTCTGCATTGGTCATAATGACGTCCAAGGGCCATAGGTGAGAAATACTTCAGAGATTAGGTAAGTAAATGTGCTTTTTTTGCAGGGAGAGTCCCAATACAATGGAGCATTTGCTTTCCCTGGAGTTCAGCTTTAAAGATAGTTATATCCAAATATGTATTTCCTCAAAATTAACTGTACTTGAACACTGTATCCCGGAATATTATTAAAACATAAAACATTTCAAGTGTACTGATATCACATTTCCATATAATAACAAAAATAGAATATGACCTGATGCACCTCAATCCCTTTAATATATCCATACAACCAATTTATTTGTTCTGGGACTTCTGTTTCCATATAATAAAAAGTTATCATAGAGGAACCTATTCCACAATAATAACTTGGACCAAGCATTAAAGAAAATAGATTCTTCTTCCCATTTTGACTTGAAGAGATTCCCAAGATGTGGATCAAATTTTGTGCTGAACTATGGCATTACCCCTCATCTGTAGGAAGAAACAGCTATACCAGAAACAGCTTTCCTTCATAGTGAAGTCTAAATGCTTTATATTCAAATATTTTTATTGAAACTTTTTCAACAAACATGTTATCACAGACCGAAAAGAAGATAAGGACTGAGCGGTATATACAGTGAAATGCGGCAGCAGGAAAATAAACACATATTAGAAAAAAAACAAGTCCCCACCATTTGGCTGGGGACAATATAACAAGGCCACAGATATATGAGAGGTATACTCAGTTCCTTATGAACCTTCTATGGTTGGAAGTGTGATAACCAGTGGAGGGAGGAGGAGGTGAGGGGGAAGGGAGGCACCAGTCAGGTGAATTGGCTATAGTATATTATTATGTTATTATATATGTCACTTGATGGAGCAGTTAGGATTTTGAAGCCACCGAGACCATTGAGAAGTCTAAATGCTTTAAAATAAATGTTATCTGATCCTGAGGAGTGTTTGATATTTTCTCTAAAGCCCATTTTGGTGCCTTCAAATCATCACCGTGCTTGGTGTTAGCATACAATGATACAACATCCACTGTTGCACAGATATAATTGTCATCATAGGGGATATCTTTCAGACAGTTAGTTGTGTGCTTCTTAACTCTAAGGTAAACCAACTAAGGGTTTTAAGTGGAAATCAATGTATTCCCCAAACTAAAGCCTGCCATACACAGGTCGAAATCCGAAAGAATTTTCTTTTGAATATCTTTTCAAAGAATTTTCGTATGAATTTCTCACCATTAGTGGGCCACAGAAACGACCAATTTTCGAGTGACCATCAAATTTGAGTGATCTGGCATAGTGGAATATTTTGGAAAAACGAACGCATTTCTAATCAATGATGGGAGAGTTGTGCGAGAAATGTAATCAAACAAGAAACAAGCACAAGCTGTAGCCTGGAAAGGAAAGAAAACTCTTGGCCACGAAAATTATTTTCTGTGGCAACATGAGGTGAAATGAAAGGCTTGGATGGTTAAATTTTGAACTCAATGGTGGCACCATCGGATTATAAAGTGCACAAAATTTCAGATTTTCTAAAGAAAATTAGTTTGGAATTTGACCCATGTATGGCCTGCATTAGAATGCCAGGAATCAATCCCACTTACAATAGGTCTCCCTGGGGTTTTCATCACATTCTTACATACCTTTCAAAGATTGTAAATTATTATTATACAGGATTTATATAGCGCCAACAGTTTGCTCAGTGCTTTACAATATAACGGGAGACAATACAGCAACAATACAGTTCAATACAAGAGGGAATGGAGGGCTCTGCTCCTTGGAGCTTACAATCTAAGAATTGCTTGGGGAATTCCAGCCTGGGATCTGTCAGAGTGTGGATCCATCATCTTCCACTCACTGCAACTGTCACCCTGCCGCTGCCACCCACAGATACAGTCCGTCCATGACACTGATTTTGTCTTTAATATTGGTGCTGGAGGTATCTTATGGCACTTATTTTTGCAAATTAAAGAAATTTAGCAGTTTCAAGTTTTGCTGATTTAATATTTTTTTTAAATGTTTATTTATTTATTTGTTTATTTATTTATATTTTGGGGGGCTCAAATAGCTGGTCTTGTCTAGGGAGCAAAATAGACTGCTCCTTGCAGTTTACAATCTAGGAGGATATAGTAGCAATTCTACAAACTGATGGAACCACTTCATATCTTTATTTAATATATCCTTTTATTACCTATTTTTTGAGTTTTTAGATGGTTCTTAGTTGGGTCTTTAGGCAATCCCTCATACATTTCCACATCTCCTAAAAGCCTTTCCCTATCCTGCAGGTAATATATTTTTTTTCTTCTACTACTTTCATCATCAATTTTCATCTGCTGCAGCAGTATATGTTTCTGCATAGCAATAAAACAGAGTTCAGTGACAAAAATTACAATCTCTTACAAGTGAAGCTGTGCCCCAAATATATTGGATAGTCCTTTTCTGGGAAAACACACATGTTCCCTCGAAATAGTTCCATTATTGCAGCATTTTTGTGTTTAAAGCATTAAAGTGTATTTATGAACATTTTTTTTTAGTTTTTGATGACATAGGGACATGTTAGGCTTTTTGTCAAGAGTTTACTGCTGTCTGTGTACCTGTTACTGACATTTATCCCTCTGTTTGTATTGGTGCTCATTGTTACCAAAATAAAAAGTGAATTGAAATCCAAAATGTTGGAGTTGCCCCAAGAACAAAAGGTGAGGGGAATCTCCCAATGAGGGACACCAGTTTCAGGAACAACTGTCTTCCACTCACTTTTGGAGATTTCCTCTAATGTCCTGTTATGTTTCTGGGACAGAGTAAAGGGAATTTTCCCTAAGGTTACAGTATTATTATTTATTTATTTATTTATTCGTATGCAAAACGAATCAATGCCCTGACAATTAGGAACTGAGGTTTCACAAGCACTGGACAGGAGGTTTTATCAACTAGTTATGCTGCCAGTGTGGAATGCTGGTAAGGTACCCAAGTTTGTTTCAATGTGTTACTTGTGTGCTTGGATCAAATGCTATGAAATGGCACAGCCAGTGGGTAATGTTTTTTCCTTCCTTTGTAGGTCTCCCAAAAGCAGCTGTTATCAGCCAGCTTCAAGCTTTGCGGGGTGCTGCTGGAATATGGGCATTCGGGGGAACGCCAGATGATACTGTATATGTCACACTACCACTCTACCATAGTGCAGCCTCCCTCATTGGGATCGGTGGGTGCGTCTACCTTGGTATGTTATCTGTGTTCAGATCATTTATCTTGAACGTTCTATGTACGGTATGTCCTTTTTATGTAGTATCTTTATATAAACATGTATGATGAGTAGGATTAATTCTGTTAGTCCTTAACCCTAACGTTTCAAAAATCACTTTATTATCTAGGTGTTTGGCTTTTTAACAGACATTGATCGAGCTCACAAGGTATGCAGTAATTAGCCTGCACACTATTGGGTTGAGCAGTCATATCCGATGTAGTCAAACATTGTTGTTTTGTTATTATTCACTGTGGATGCTTAGTGATAAACAAAGACTATGGGCTCAATTCATGAAATGATAGTGTTTTTCAAAAATAGTTTTGCAATTCACTAAATGAACGCTACTAAAATACTGTACTTTCTTGAAGTAGTGTGGTATTTTAGTAGTGTAAACTTATTCACTTTGGACGTGTTTATGGTGAATGTATAGGGGTATGATGTAACCCAGGGCTTAAACTTTCAAGTCCTGAGCTACTAGCCAGGCCTTAAAAGTTACTCGCCACCAACAAACACACACAAACAGAGACACCTGTACACACACAGACATGTACATAGACACACACACATGCACACACAGAAACATGTACACACACGCACAGAGACATATGTACACACACGTATACAGACACATGTATACACACACAGGCACGTACAGACACGCATACACACAGATACATGTACATACACAGAAATACACACGCACAGACACATGTACATACACTCAGACACATGTACATACATAAACAGACACATGTACGTACATACATACAAACACACACACACGTACTGTAAGCTCAAAAGAGCAGGGCCCTCGAACCCCTCGTGTATCGCATTGTATTGTTATTGTACTGTCGCATGTTCTGTCTCCCTTTACAATGTACAGCGCTGAGCGAACTGTTGGTGCTTTATAAATACTGTATCATAATAATAATAATGTACATGCACACAGACACATGTACACACACACATACATGTACATACACGCAGGTACATGTACAGATATACACATGTACATACAGACAGACAGACATGTACATGTATTCACGGACACACACAAAACACACACACATGTACACAAACGCAAGCTGTAAAGTGCTCTCTCCTCTCCCCTGAAACCACCACTGGCTGACATAGAGGATCATGTGACCAGAGTGAGCTGAAATTAGGTAGGCACACACACACACAGCCCTATAAAAAGTTGCAGTACTTCGTTGTTCACTCACAGAGCCTGGTACTGCACTCTAGGGGGAGGCAGAGAGCACAGCACACACTCCTTCCTTTGCTTTCACTGCGCTCAGCTATTGAGCAGTCTGACGGCTCCCAGTGCAAATGACAGATCCGGACTGAGCTCCGAGTCTGCTCAGCAAGATGGCCCTAGGGGACACACTTGCCCCTACCATAATTTCCACTCGCCATTGGTGAGCAGGTGAGTGGAAATTTCAAGGCCTGATGTAACGTATATTTATTGAGATCCACCCCTTCATCTGTAAACACCACCCCTTCCTATTAGAGCTCCGCCCACTGAGAACGATGGGCGCTATTCCTCCCACTGACACCAATGATGGGGAGCTATTCCTCCCACTGACACCAATGATGGGGCACTATTCCTCCCGGACCCGCTGACCTGACAACCTCTCTACCCCTCCTCCAGCAGCGCTTTGTGGACCAGATCGACGTGGGACTGGGACACGGAGTCGTGGACCCAGGTAAGATACAGCAGCCTGCCTCTGTACTAAGTGGCCCTTTTGTGGGAAAGGGGGTGCGGCGTCGCCACCGCGCCGTGTGCCCCTAAAAAGTGATGCCCTAGCCAAACGCCTTGTTTGCCTCGTGGCAAATACACCCCTGGATTTGGGGGCCTCCTTGTTAAAGGAAGCTTCCATATTCTGATAAGTCACCCCTAACACTCCCATAACCACCAGGTCAGGGTTGTGGGTAGGAGGCCCTTGTCCTCATCAACATCTGGAGAAGGTGCTTTGTTGCCCATTTTAGGACATTAGTTTGAATGTCTAATTGTTAGCAGATAAAATCAATGTTCATTTATGACCATGATGAAAAAATTTCAAGAAGCAGGATGGAAAATTTTTCTTAAACTAACATTTTTTTTTTCTAATGGTGTATGTGGTTTTCATTCGGGAAATTACATTCATTCAAAAATCAAAAGTAAAAAGCAAACTAAATTTTGAACGACCTTTGTCAAGCTATTAAATGTACTGTAATTTCTTATGAATCTTCGTAATAAGTTTTGTATTAATTTTTGTTCAAAAATCTACTATTGTATATCCAAGTTAAAGAGAAGTTCCAGTCAGTTTTCTAAACATTAAAAGTCAGCAGCTACAAAAAACAGACTATGTTTGGTCCTTGGCAACAACAGCTTAACTGTGGGCACTCAGCTGTGACAGCTTGTAGCTTCACAGCCAGGTGCCCACTGCGCATGCATGAGCAGCGCTGCACATTGTGAATGGTCCTGCAGGCTTCTGGGACCTGTAACGTGTCCCAGAAGACTGCAGGGAGGAGGGGGGAACTTCTGCTCAGATTGCCTAGGTGATCTGAGCGGAAGTGGGAGCAGATACCTGTCAAAAAACCAGGGACACGCTCCCCCCCACCCTCAAAAAAAATGCCAAATGTCAAAGAGGAGTGGGAGAGGAGGCCTTAAAGCAGAACTTCCCCTTTTTGGTAAGTAATTATTGAAGACCGTGAAACCTGGGCAGCTAGTATTTTCACACAGAGGGCACTAATTGCTACCATCATATGTGTCAAGTGCTTGAACAATAAAGAGTCTACATGAACATTAAGAACTGTTAACATTTTGAACTACAAACTGTTTTTATCATTTATTTATTTATTTCTCTATCCCTGCATTTCATCCCTCAATAAACTTGTCACCATTTCACCTTTATTACCACATCAAAGTAACAGTCTTCTGTTTTTTGGGCAAAAACTCTGACAAACTCTTCCATGTCTAGATTATTGGCTGTTGGCTTCTCATGAGCCCAAATCATGAAATTCTCTTTCCTGTCATGCATCATTGTGCGTCAAATGGCGTTAGAAGACAGTGTGGAGAATGAACTCTCACATGATGCTGTGGATATCCCAATGACCAGAGCAGTTACATACAGTGCATGCAGCTCTGGGAATACTTTCTTATAGCTGCTGACATGTGCAAACAGCAGACAGGTCCATCTCTGTGGTAAATTTCTTGAGCAACATTGGTTTTGCAACAAGAATTTCATTTTTAAGGCTGTCAGTGTCAGCAAATTTTGAGTCTGCAAGCAGTTGCAGAGGGTGCAGAAGCACCAGATCTAGAAAAGAATTAGACTGAGGGAGAAGGCAATCTAGTGCCTTCGTTAGGTCCAGATTTTGCTTTGAAAACCTATTTTTAAGTTCAGCAATGGCTGTGTCCAGAATGTTTAGCAGGGCTCTTTTTAGAGACACTGGTTGTTTTGCAGGAATCAGTCTCAGTGTGATCAAGAGAGGAGAAGACAACACCGTCTGTGAGCTGCTTGGTCATTGTTTGTTGTGCCTTTGCTGAAGGTGGATTGTGTGTTTGTTAAAACTGAGTACTTGAAAGATTTCCTCGCATATGTTTCAGTGCTTGCAAAGAGGATGTGATAACCTCCCCAGCACCACAGAGGTCTACTGAGTGAGTTTGCAGAATAGAATTAGCCAGCATTAAGGCACCAAGAATCTGGAAAAGAAATTGACCTATTTCAAAGAATTTCTGTGTCCCTAGCTGTACTAATAGTCCTGATGCTTCTGTACAAATATCCATTCCTGCAGCAGTATTTTCTGAAATCTCAGAGAGAAGATCCAAGATAGTAGGCTGGTTTTCAAAAAACACCCCTGGCCACATCATAGTGACTGGTCCATCGTATTTTCAGTAGTCTTTTCAGAGATGGCACATTGTAGTGCTGTGTGTAATGTAGTGATGATGAAATAAGGAGTGGAGTGAGCCTGATACCTCAAAAAAAGTTTTGGCACATGGCTCAGCTTGCATAGCATGCACCACTGCCAGATGAAGCTGATGGTTGTAACAGTGTATGTATGGTAGATGTCAGCCAATCTTTTTCTGTAGCAATACCTGCACCCCACCTCTTATTCCACGCATTATAGAAGCACCATCATAGCACTGACTGACTATGTTGTCAGTACTGTAGCCCCCATCTGAGAGATGTTTCAGTATCTGTGCTGTGATGTACTCAGCATCTAACTGACTCAGGTCTAGCAAACCAATCAGGTGTTCCTCAGGAACAGAGTTATGGAAAAACCGGATCATTATTGATAAGTTCTCTATATTGCACCTGTCCCGTGTCCCATCACTCTTTAAACAGAACCCTGCCAGCATTGTCATATTTACTTTTTATTTCTTGCAACACAAGACTCGCCATAGTTTCAGTTACCTCATTTTGCACATTATGGGATGTATATTTTGCATTTTGTGGTATGCCATTTACTATGTCTGAGTTGAACATCCTTTAGTAATGTGAATTCAAATAGCTTCAGGAACAGTCCTGCAGCCACATCATCTTCTTTCCTAGACTCCAGGCTCTCAGAGGTCCCACAGAGGGGCAACTCATTAACAGCAAGGAATTTAATTACTTCTCCTTTTTTTGTTACATAGTACCTATTCTTCTCAATCTGCTTTGGACCCAGCAGGTGGACTACAGTCTCACCTGTTGCCTCTCTCTTCATCTTCCCAGTCCACAAGGAAGAAGCTTGCAAATGGCAGTGACTACATGCATGCTTGTTTAATCCCCTGTCCTTCTCCAATGCACTTTTCCAGTTAGTAAATCCTTTTTTGGTAAAAAACAACATTTTTATCATTCACTGCTGAAAATTTTCTACACGGGAAGCAAAAAGCATGCACCTTTTTTTACAGTGTTCTAGCCATGGTCGAGAGTGGTACCAACTTGGTTTAAAAGTGCGAGGACCCTGGCTAAAGATCTGCATTCGGTATGATTTCAGAAGAGGCTTTGATG